ACAACACATCCATCCACCCCTATCACACCATGTCCAACCCTCACCTATCAAATGCTATCGCCCTTCCCCCCCATCCTCTCTTTCAGCCTCCTCGAACCCCCCCTAAGCTCCACCCATGCCTGCTGCATATTTACCATTCCCCCAACCTCAAACTCTCTGAGACCGAATGGTTTGTCCTCACGTTTGTGCCCCTCCGCCCCCACCTCACTCAGTTCCGTGCCCACCACGATGTGTAACTTTTCTTCGTCTGCCTCTGCCTCAATGCCTTCTTCTTCGATAAAGATTCCCAACCTCCCTCCGGGGTCTCCTTCTTCCGCCTCCAACTTTCCTCCTTCTCTTGGACACCCTCCCTGCTGGCCTCTTACCCGCCCCAGACCTCTTCATTGCTAACTGCCAATGCAACATTGACCGCCTTGATTTCTCCATGACCCCTCACCCACTCCAACGTCTCCCCCTCTGAGCGTGCAGCGCTCCACTCTCTCCGCACCAATCCCTTTTTCACTATCAAACCCACTGACAAAGGTGGGGCGGTGGTAGTCTGGAGGATGAACCTTTATATTGCAGAGGCCAAACGCCAACTCTCCAATACCACGTCCTACCTCACCCTTGACCACAACCCCAACATGGCCCATCAAGCCACTGTCTCCCACACTGACCATGACCTCATTGCTTTCGATGAACTCCCCTCCACCACCTCCAGCCTTACAGTCCCCTAGCCCCGCACTGCCCGGTTCTAGCTGCTCCCCAAGATCCACAAGCCCAACCACCCCAGCCAACCCATCGTCTCCAGATTCTCCTGCCCCACCGAACTCATCTCTTCCTACCTCAACTTCATTCTCTCCCCCTTGGTCCAGGACCTCTCCTCACCTACATCTGGGACACAAACCATGCCCTCTACCTCTTTGGAAACTTCCAGTTCCCTGGTCCCTGGTGCTTTATCTTTACTATGGACGTGCAATCCCTGTACACATTCATACCCCACAACGATGACCTACAGGCCCTCAGTTTTTTCCTCTCCAATAGACCCATCCAGTCCCCCGCCATTAATACTCTCCTCTGCCTCACCGAACTAGTTCTCACCCTCAATAGCTTTTCCTTCAATTCTTCCCACTTTCTCCAAATCCAGGGGGTTGCCATGGGCACTCGCATGGGCCCCAGCTATGCCTGCCTGTTTGTCAGTTATGTCGAACAGTCCCTCTTCAGTACGTACACCGGTACTGTTCCCCAACTCTTCCACCGTTACATCAATGACTGCATCAGTGCTGCATCCTACACCCAGGCTGAACTGGAGCAATTCATCGACTTCGCGAACAACTTTCACCTTGCTCTCAAATTCACTTAGTCTATGTCAGACACCTCCCTCCCCATTCTTGACCCCACCATTTCCATTTCTGGCAACAGTTTACAGACCAATATTTTTACTATAAACCCACAGACTCTCATAGCTAGCTAGACTACACCTCCTCCCATCCTGTATCCTGCAAAAAATTCCATCCCATTTTCCCAATCCCTCCATCTCTGTCGCATCTACCCTGATGAGGAGACGTTCCACTCCCAAGCATCCGAGATGTCCACCTTTTTCAAACAACGCTGTTTCCCCTCCTCTGTCTCAAGACAGCCCTCCAATGCATCTCCTTCATTCCCACTCCACAGCTCTTATCCAACCCCCAAAACATAATCAAGATAGGGTCCCCCTTGTCCTCACTTTCCACCCCACCAGCCTCTGCATCCAATGTATCATCCTCATACACTTCCACCAACTCCAATTAGACCCCACCACCCGGAACATCTTCCACTCCCCCACTCCTCTCTGCCTTCTGCAAGGACCATTCCCATCGCCACTCCTTAGTTCGCACCATACTCCCCATTAACCACTCCAAACACCTCCCTCCTTCCCCGGTACCTTCCCCTGTAACTGTAAAAGATGCAGGAAATGCCCACACACCACCTCCCTCACCTCCATCCAGGGCCCTAAACAGTCCTTCCAAGTGAGACAGAGCTTCACATGCATCTCCTCCAACCTAGTCTATTGCATCTGGTGCTCCCGATGTGGTCTTCTCTAGGTCGGTGAGACCAAACATAGACCAGGTGACCATATCACTGGCATCTTGGCCTGGTCCGTAACAGCCACCCTAACCTCTCGGTCTCCGCCCATTTCAACTCCTGCCCCTACTCCCCCTCCGACATGTCTGTCCTCAGCCTCCTCCAGCGTCGCAGTAATTCAGAATGCAAATTTGAAGAACAACACCTTATCTTCCACCTGGGCACCCTATGGCCTGGAGGACTCAACACTCAGTTCTCCAATTCCAAATAACCTTGCCACCCATCTCCCACCTCCCCTTCCAGCCCCACCTCCTCCCTTCCATTCCACCTTCTGACCCTTTCTTCCAGCTACCAACCGGATTCATCCCTTCCATCGACCAACCAGGTTGTACCTCCTACCAGTCTCCATCTATCACCACCATTCTGCTACCACCCCGCTTTATCTGCAGCTCCCCCTACTCCCACATCCAGTCCTGAAGAGGTTAATACCCGAAATGTTGACTGCTCCTTTCCTCCAGATGCTGTCCGGTTGCTGTATTTTTCCAGCCTCCTGTTTGTCTACCTTGGATTCTGGCATCTGCAGTTTCTTTTTGTCTCTAACAATACAACCTTAACTGATTCATTCCATCTAACATGGATGGTGTGAATTTGGGAAACAGCTATTGTAATTGTGTTTTAAAGGGAGCTTTAACTGTATTCAGGGAACACTTGAACCAGATGTGATACTCATTTTGAGATAACAAGGTGTAGAGCTGGATGAAC